GACCATGCCTGTACACAAACATTAACACAACAATAGTTAAAAGATATTAAAATTCATTACATACTACGCCAACAAAACCTTCATCCCACAAAATAGAAAGAGAGGGAAAACGAGCAACGAGTTAAACAGACGATGAAGGGGTCTTTACATTGTCATCCATAAATCTTTCCCTGGCTTTCATGGCCTTTATCACAAAAACCGCTACCACGTGGGTAATACGTGGGTTTGCATCAACTAACAAAAATTTTACTCTATCTTCAGGATTGGTTATAGAGTTGGGTATAATTTGCAGCAATGCGTCTCTAAAGCTCGAGTAGATGGGGCAATAGAGGAGGTAATGTGTAAGATCCTCTTTAATTTTCATAAGGCAAGGGCATAAACGATGTTCTACTGGGGTTTTTGTGAATCTACCGGTCAGATATGCAGTTGGCAGTGTTTGAAACCGTGCCATAGTGAAAGCTCTCCGAAGGGTGGGGTCAGTGATCTCCACCAAGTAGTTGGCACAGATTTTGACTGCGTTTACTCGGGAAACCAGTAGGAAAACCCAGAGTTTTTTATCTTTGTGGAGTCCAAAAGGCGTCTTTTCAAAGATCCATTCCCGAACTTTATCAGGGCTCCACAATTTAAGGGTATTAAACTCAGGTAGATTGTATCTGGATAGGATATCTAGTAGGTTTTTATGCCAAGTAGTATTATTTTGTAATAATACAAAGGCTTGTTTAGCCAATAAGGTGTTCGGGGCATCTGTGAGGTTGGTGAAAACGCAGGAATCTTAAGTGGGCCCTGGCAGACACAGAAGGTAATCCTACTTCCACTCTTAGGAGAGCTGCCGGAGTACTCTGAGGGAGGCCTAGAATTCTTCTGAGGTAAAAATTTTGGAAGATTTCAAGCCGTTCTAACAGCTTCTGATTCCATCCCCAGAGTTCTACTCCATATAGCATCTGGGGAATCACTTTTCCAACAAAAGCTTTTAATGCCGGGATCACCAGTTGCCCTCCCCTCGAATAAAAAAGCTGAGCAGGGCACCGATTGTCCTACGTGTTAGAAGGGCTACAGTCTTGAAGTGGGCAAGCCAGCTAGATGTAGCTTGGAAAGTGATACCAAGATATTTAAAAAGAAGACACTGTTCAATTTTATGTTCATCTAAAGACCATCTAAATGTGTGGCGAGCTCTAGTAAATACCACAATTTTTGTTTTGTCATAATTTATCTTTAGAGAGTTTTGGGAACAATAAGCTGCGAGCCCCTCCAGCATGCTATGTAGGCCCCTTCGAGTAAGTGCCATGACAGCCATGTCATCAGCATATAGTAATATATTCAGGTGTTTGCCTTCCAGGGCAGGAGCTGATGACTTATACTTTGCCATATGTTGAACAATGTCATTTATATAGAAATTAAAGAGGAACGGCGCTAACAAACAGCCCTGTTTAACCCCTTTCCCCAGTGGCAGTGGATCAGTATAGTTGCCTGACATCCCAGTTCTGATTTTAACTGTGGTGTCTGGAATGTAACTCTCTAAGTATTTTGAGAAGTCGTCTATCAATATCTGTTTCATATAATTTTTGCCATAATTTGTCCCTACAGATTGAATCAAAAGCGGATGTGAGATCTACGAAAGCCACAAAAAGTTTGCTCTTATGTACTTTTGTATACTTATCTATCATTGTCTGTAGTACCAAACAATGGCCTGTTGTACTATGGCCCTTTCTAAACCCTGCCTGTTCCGGATTAAGCAGGTTAGAGTGGTCAGCCCAGTCAACCAGTTTATTTAGCAGGTAGCGAGTGTAAAGTTTATACACAATGTCCAGGAGACTTATGGGGCGATAGTTTGAGGGGTCTTGGGGGTCTCCTTCTTATAGATGGGGGCTACCAGGCTCAGTTTCCAGTTTTCTGGGATTTTGCATATATCATTTATTACCGTAAAAGTTGGGCCAAAATAGCAGCCCACCACTGGGCATTTAGTTTAAATACCTCAGGAGGAATCATATCCTCACCGGGAGCTTTGCCATTCTTGAGTGTTTTAATTAGCTGTAAACATTCTGATTCGGTAACAGGATCCCAGCCCTTTAATAGATCGTTTTTAAGAGGAGGAAACTGGCTCGGTTTAGCAATGTTTGGAGCTGTATATAGCCGGGAAAAGTGTTGGTACCATAAGTTAGATGAGATACTGTTGGTTACAATTTTCCCTTTGGGTGAAACTCCCTGGGCAATTATTTCCCAGAACTTTTTGTCATCCCGCAATTTGATCGCTTTGTCAAGTGCCTCCCATTGTTCCTTTCTGTAGAGGGATTTCTTAAATTTTAGAGTATTTTTATAATGAGAACGCCACCTGTGCAGGTTTTCCAATGAGGACAAGGTCCCTTCCTGTTTTACCTTATTTTGTAGTTTCCTGAGCAAGGATCTTAGATTCCTACAGTCTTTGTCGAACCAGGCCCTCGAGTTGTTTTGTTTTTTGGGAGGGTTGGAATTCGTGAGTAGTGGGAAGAGCGACTCTGAGACCTGCTGAAATGTTGAAAAGGGGTCAGAAATGGATGAGATGCACTGGTCTCTCAAGGCCAGTAAGTCTGATGAATGCAGGTGTAATTTGATTTTAGATTCCAGGTCGCTGTTCCATTTACGCCTACGAAGGGCCAGGGTTGGAGGTGGGTCTGCACAGTGATTGCGGTATTGCGGATCCTCCACACCACGGGGAATTAGTGAAATTGATATAGGAAGATGATCACTCTCAATTCTATTGAAAGTCCTGAAGCCCTGTGACCTCTCCAAGAGTTTTGGGAGACCAGGATATAATCAATAACGCTCGCACCTCTGGGTCCAAGAAAAGAAAAGAAACCCCCTGACCTGTCCATATGGGTACCATGCAAATTATACAAATTATGTTTGAAGGCAGTCTCCATTAATGTAATGCCTGCCTTATTCAAGACCTTATCGTCTGAGGACCAGGGAATAAACCAATCTGCCTCTGGCAGGAACTGAGATTTAGAGCAATACGTATTAATGTCATTTCCTATCCTGGCGTTGAAATCACCTGCCAGCAGGATATCCATGCCAGGAAATTCTAGTTCAGCCTTCTCCAAACATAGCTCTAAATCTTCCCAGAATTGTGACGACTGGGGAGGGGTGCCTATGGGAGGGATATATATATTAAAGCAAAGGAAATCTCCTCCTTCACTGCTAGAAATAAGTGTGATTTGTAAATTGTTACTCTTCACCCACTGCTGTTGCCGGGCCTTGCATTTTAGCTTGGTAGAAACAAAAGTGACTAAACCACCACTAGGTCGGCCTCGGGATTTTGGTTTTATCGCAGGGGTAGCAAAAGCTTCGTATCCCTGTAAAGAGGGGACATGGAGATCTAGACACCATGTCTCCTGTAGACATAAAATCTGAAATTTTGTAAGGAAATCCAGAAGGTCGACGTCACCCTGCTTAGATAGCCATCCCGCCACATTCCAGGATAGAATGTGGAAATAGGGTGATGGTGGAAATAGTGGCAGTCAATCTCTTTTCCGATGGTTTGAGGCTCCTGAGCTGGGCTCCTCCTCTATCTGCCCTGCTTGGTGGTTCCGGGTTTGAGATCGCTGGTCCCTAGATAGGTATGATAACTTTAACTGAGGGGCCAATAGGTTGATTTGGCCCAGAGGATCTTCGATGACACCGTTACAAATATCATGTTGTTCAGCTGATGTATCATGATGTTCAGCTGGTTTTCGCAAAGCAAGGATTTTGCCGACCCGTATAGGCTGTATAGGTAGCAGGTCGACAACTGCATCTTGCGTCGGTACTGCTAGCGGGTCAAAATTTGACAAAAGCTGTGGATCTTGATTGCGTATTGGGCTTAGAATAATGGAAGCCTCCAATTCCGGCATCGAGGCATATGAGGACGAGAGCATTTCAGACTGGTCTTGCTTGGGTAGCCCAATGCCAGGCTCATTGCACGTAGAGACCAGGGTACCAAGCGGGGGATGTAGGAAATCAATTAAGTCATTTGCGGGCAGGCCTGCCACTCCCTGTGGGGTAATAGATCCCGGCTCCATCTATTTGTTCTTTATGGCGCACAGGCCCAGCATCAACACCGACAGCACCTATCCTGGTGCATAGCGGTGTACGGGTCAGATTGGTGAAAACCCTTGTAAAATAGATGTACCATTTTCTTGTGCGGTTTCTTAATTTTAGAATCTTTGCAACGAAATGGGCAGATCTAAAGTTAATAACCATACGTCTCATATAAGGTCCAGAAGGCAGCCATGAGATGTTCACGATATCTACGGGGCGTAATGTCTGCCCCAGCAGTTGGGTCAGGGAATTTGTGACCGAATGTTTATCCGCCCATTTGTTATAATTCAAGGGGTGGTTTCCCACCAGTACTGCAAGTTTGCTGTTCTGGAGTTGCAGACTTGAGTTTTGTACTTGGTTGGGCAGGCATCTCACTTGTTTTTGTGCAAGGTTGGCCTGCGCACTTGGGCAGGGGTGAGCGGAGTTTGCAATGTTGTTAAGCTGAAGGAGTGAGGGGGGGCAACTGAACAAGCCAAAGGCTTTTTCAAGCTTCTTTTCGATCCCATCCAGCCTTTTATATAAGTTGGTGATAGTATGTGTTATCAACTCAGTCTGGCAGATTAGCAGTTCCAGTGCCTCTCGGTCCTTGTTTAACTGGGCTGGTGACTGGGATAATTCAGGTGAAGTTTTTGCAGGGACTCAAGAGTCTGTTCCATCTGTTCCTTCATACACAGGCTCGAGGCTAGTTGTGGGCCATCCACAATGCCGGCAGGCTCCTCATGAGTAGTACTGGGAGCAAGGACCTCATGGCTGTTTGCTGTGGGGAAGTTTCTACAGATCTCATTTAGGTCATTGTCAGGCAAAAATCCCTGATATTTGTCTGTTTTTGGCAGTGCTCGTAGCTTCATTGGAATGCTGCCTGCGGCGTTTCTTCCCTCTCATGTCGGCAAGAAAATAGGGAGAAAATTTCTCAAAATAGTAGGGTCAGGGCAGGTTGTGCTGTTAATGAGCCCTACTCCCTTTAACAGTCTTTATCTGCCGTGTTTTCTTGCAGATTTATGGGAGAAGTAGAAATAATCTAAACCATAAAACTTCTAAAATAAACGCCTTAAGGCATCTTAGAGCCCTTAGAACCCGTCAAAGCAGATAATAAAAATATAGCTTTACCGAGCATAAGACAAGGCTGCCGCTCACGTCGCCATCTTGGATCGACCACCATGGTGTCTGGCATACACTTCAGGAACCGGGTCCATTTGGTGGGCCAGATCCCTAATTCTCTCACCACTGCCATGGGCCAACTTTGGCAGAAGGGCAGGACATCAGCTGGAACCTGACAAAGGTCAAAGGAGGTTGCTGAAGATGTCCGTCAGCTGAACTTCTTTGAAGTCCTTCTGGAAGAAGCAGTTTGGATTCCAAGTGCTTCCTCCAAACAGAGTATTTCCCCCCTTTGTTTGGGAAACGAATCCAAGCTGCTTCCTCCAGCCTCTTCTGCTGCCTATCAAGTTTGGGGCACAGGTTTGGAATTCAGAATTTCCTGATCCACGGCTCAGATGCCTTAGCTAGGCCACTCCACAAGAAGAAACATGGCAAGGGAGCTTGCAGATGGTTGCCAACCATTCAGACCTGGCTAGGAAAGGACCACAACTCCACTTTAACAAATGGGATCAGGTAGCAGGTGATGGGAAAGAATCAATAAGGTTAAAGTTTACTGGGAAATGATTTATAATGAATTGAAAAGGATATTCAAAATAACTTTTATTTTTTTTAAAAACCAGAAGCTTTTCTTTGGGGAATTACAGTGGTACCTCAGGTTACATACGCTTCAGGTTACATACACTTCAGGTTACAGACTCCACTAACCCAGAAATATTACCTCGGGTTAAGAACTTTGCTTCAGGATGAGAACAGAAATCGTGCAGGAGGCCCCATTAGCTGAAGTGGTGCTTCAGATTAAGAACAGTTGCAGGTTAAGAACGGACCTCCGGAACGAATTAACTACTTAACCAGAGGTACCACTGTATAGGGAAAGAACTACCTAAATTGTATAGAAATTTATTTATGTATGCTACTACAGCAGCAAGAATGTTACTTGCCCCAAAATGGAAAGAAACAGAAGGAGGAATGGATACAAAAAAACTTACGGAATATGCAGAAATGGTGAAACTTACCGGAAGAATAAGAAATCAAGATAACAAACTTTTTATAGAAGAATGGAAATGGTTTATTGAATATTTACAGAAAAATCGCAAACAGATAAAAACATTAACAGGATTATGGTAATAACCTGCAGTTTCATAAGAGTATATATTTACAGTGGATAATTAAATGAGCAAGTTAAATGAATCTGGATATGCTGAAGATATTAAAAAATTAATTTAAGGAACTTCAGAAAGGAGGAAAGAAGTCAAAATTTGAAATGTTAAATTGATTGTAAGACTAATGAAAATGGATAAATATGAAAAGTAAAAAAGTAAAAAAGTAAAAAAGTAAAAAAACTAAAAAACTAAAATGTATAAATATGAAAAGTAAAAAACTAAAAAAGGGAAAGAAGAATCAGTGCTTGAGTGGCTCTCTATGCCAGTTAGTCAGATATGTGACCTAGCCCAAGTATCCTGCTATACTTCAGACTTCAAGTGGCTGAAGCTTGTTTGTTCCAGCTCAAGGAGGATTTTCTTATTAAAGTGTGGAACAGAGCATGAAATACATTCTCTCCCTCTTGTGCTTGTTCTTTTTTTGCGGGGAGAGCCATGACCAGGGTTGAGAAGAATGTTTTCACAGCTGTCATGCCAAAGGACTTGGTCCATGTCCCCTGTACAGCAGGCTGAAGCTGGTTGGTTGTCCAGGAGATGTTGTGGTGCCCACAAGGAAAACATTGTGCAAGTGCATTTCTCAATCAAATTATTTACCAGAACTTCCAAGACAGGCTGGCTTCTTTCTCCCTTCGAAAAAGGGGGGGGAGGAGGTAGGGGAGTATAAAATGGCATAGGGATTAGGGTCTTTTGGCACATAACATTTTGCCAACACAGAAATAATCCGGCTTGTGTGGATATCAGGATCCCACTGGATGAAAGCAAAAAATGCAACCCACAAAAACGCTACAGAGCACAGAAAGACATTTTCCCAGAATCTCAGCTTTCAATTTAGGACAGGACGTTTTGGGCGCTTGCAGCTGTGAGGATATGGGATGATTTAAAAAATAATAATAGTGAAATACAGAGATTTAACTAGCAGTGGATTGTAGCATAGATCCTAGCCCAATAACCTGTACTTCTGGGGCTTGGGGAGGTAGAACCCATAAACAGAGTCTTTTCCAAGGTGGACAAGTTCAGGCAAACTCAGCCTATCTTACTTGGCCAGGACCTTGGGGAGCTCCCAATGGACACTGCTGGCTACGCTGTGGAGAATGTCTCAGCAGAGAGCTGAGGCCAGCTAAAGTCTTATGAAGGCTGAGGAAGCCTATATTGCAGTTGGCTCTTCTTTGTGGAGCTGGCTGTGCTGACTTAAAAAGCTATTGACTGATTCTTCAGATGACAACTTCTACCCTACGGTGGGGATGTTATGGGTGCTCATCTTCTGAAGAAGGCAGGAGAGTTATATCCTCTAGTTGGGATGGCGCAGAGAGAGTCACTGAGGGTAACTTCTCATGTTGATCTTCCTGAGAGTAGTATTTAGTGGTCTTGCTGCACAATTAAGGACCCCTGTGAATTTAAGTTGCTCATCAACCACCACCCTAATTTGTTGGCATCTATTCCTCTGAGCATAGATCCAATGTGCTCTGTTATTCTGTACACCGAAAGATGCCTTATTCTGAGTCACACCATTAGTCCACCTAGCTCAGGGGCTCTTGGGGAGTTCAGACAAGACTCCTTCCAAACTCTAGTTGGAGAAGTTACTGAGTGGCCTGCTACAGCCCTATATAGTCATTGGGGCTGGATCATGCTCTGTCTTAGTTAATATCTAGCTTCATTTGATCTTCCACGATTAATATACATGATACCAAATATAAAAGCTGGAAGAAAATGAACGCAGCATGACATCTGCATACCTACCAGACTTGCAACTAATTTTGCTTTCTGGCAGACATGAAACCATTCCCCGGGTATTTTCTACTTCCTTGTCTGCAAAGTGCCTCCCCTTCTGTCATGGAGATTGCAAAGCAAAGTTCTCAAAGGATCGGGAAATTGCAGCTAGTTGTGCCTTAACGAAGTTTTCCAAGAGACTCACAGATACGCAGGGGGAAACTTGGCTGCATATTACAACTGAGCTATTATACGTATTTTCTAGATTTCTTGTCCAGAGCTATTTTAAGAATCCAACAGGGAGCTTTACAAATATTGGCTTTGGCTTGGGCTCCTTTAAACATCATCACCCACTCAACTCTGTTCAGCCACTTTTAGATTTCGGATATTAGCCGATTCATTAAAACAAAAAACACCCCACTAACAAAAACATCCCAGGGCGAAACATAAAAATAATATTTTTATTATCATCCTAAAGCTATATTCCTGGCAAATTAAAATAAACGCAGACAGTAGGCTTTTGTCCAGGCCTAAAAGACATCTGTCTGTCCAGCAGAGGCACCACCTTCCGCATCCTTTCCTTTCCTTTGACTTGAATCTCCCTTTGTGCCTAATCTGGAGTCAACAGGATGCTGCCGGTGGCAGTTTCCTTTGATTGCTAAGGACTTTTCTGGTGCCATAAGCATCTGTCATTCTGCTTCTCCGGCCCTTCCTTTATTTGTTTCTCTGCTCTTAACAACGATGCCATTCAACCCTTATATGGCGAAATCAATTTAGTCTTCAAAGCTGTTTACGGACACTGGCGATTCAAAGCCAATTTGAAAGCAATTCACTCACGTCAGGAAGTTAAGCCCCACTGAACTAATTGTGTTTAGGATTGCAGCCAGCGGTTCCAATCCTTCCATTTCTCGCTGAATTTACTAATCCTGTTCTGCATCTGTCTCTCTCTGTCTTTCTGTGTGTGTGTGTGTGTATGTGCATTTAAGACTCCACATTGGACAGAAGAAATCACCTGCCTTTAATAGGACAGTGATTCCCAAAGGGTCCATCGTGGACTTAGTATTAATTTGCAGAATATTTACATGCCGGTCATCAGGGTTCCCTGCAACAGATGTTGCAGACAATATGGCACCACAGATTTGGAGACGGGAATGGGTGAGTGTGCTGTACAGGGAGATAAATTTGAGAGCGCAGGGTTGGAGAGGTTTGCTTTACAGTTTGTTGTTGTTTAGTCGTTAGTCGTGTCCGACTCTTCGTGACCCCATGGACCAGAGCACGCCAGGCACTCTTGTCTTCCACTGCCTCCCACAGTTTGGTCAAACTCATGCTGGTAGCTTCGAGAACACTGTACAACCATCTCGTCCTCTGTCGTCCCCTTCTCCTTGTGCCCTCAATCTTTCCCAGCACCTGGGTCTTTTCCAGGGAGTCTTCTCTTCTCATGAGGTGGCCAAAGTATTGGAGTCTCAGCTTCAGGATCTGTCCTTCTAGTAAGCACTCAGGGCTGATTTCCTTAAGAATGGATAGGTTTGATCTTCCTGCACTCCATGGGAC